GCCATGGTTGCGATATGGGTCACCATGGATGACTAGAATCCGCATCTATGTTGCGGCCTACACGTTACTAGAACTTGACAATCAAGTACCTCCTGAGGCGATGTATACTCCTGGCTCAATTTTTGTTTCCGTAGAATGCGACAGGGATTGTAGCCACCCCTAGCGTGGTACGCCAATCTTCAACCACTCACAGCGTCGTCGTCCTATTCGTCCACCTCTACCACGAAAACACTCAGATCGACATCTTTGATATACGGCGGAGGCGGGCTTGAGTCAACTGCAGAATATTCTGGCACTGGCTCTTCTTGAGCAGGGACGACCAGCCACCTATCGACTTCAACACGAAGCGGTTGATCATCGAGCATTGCCATTTCGTAATCGATCCTTCTACTCCTCGACCAACGCGATATTTCGAATGCAAAGCAGAAGATGAAGATGTGGAGGAAGACGAGGGTGAGGACGAGAACAGTGTCCGATATGCTGAATGGCATTTCGGAAGTATCTTTGCGGTCAGAGTAAGGCTGCATCGTTGCGGAGATGACGAAGGAAGGGGTTGGATATTCCCGAACTAAAGGAACGTGCAGCTTCCGGTTGGTGGCTCTGGTGCCTCGGTGGTGGGAAGTATGAGCTAGCGAATCTATAGCTGTGTTGCAGCATTGTGAGAGTGGAGACTGTCGCATTATTAATACGTAAGATCAGTATTTTGCGATGGCTGTGCACTGTGAGTAAGGACGAACAATGTGCTCGGATGCGTTCGAGATACAGCTGTTGTTATCTCATACCATGAATTGATCGTACACGTCATCGAAACAGAATCTACTTACACCTCTCAACAGTGGTCACCATCCCCACAACGTCTTGATTGTGTCGCCAATTGTTGCTTGGCCAGCTTCCTTCCTCTTCATACGAGCTACCCGCTCTTCGATAAATGTCTGTTCCAGCTGCTTTGCCACACCGGTCTGTGCCCTGATCTCGCCCACAATAGCCATCCTCTCTATCTCGCGCTCTTCGGGCGACAGGCTCTCCAGCTTCTTTTGGTACTCTTCCCGTACTTCCGGCTTGATCTGCTTCCACACGTCGGTATCGTCCATGTTGCCACTCGATTTGCCAATCTCAGCTATCGGCACAGCTGGTTTTCCTGTCGCTGATACGCCGCTCATGGCTTCCGCGACATTCCGTTTCGACAATATGCTTTCGAATTTGGGCACTGGCCGTCCCTCTGCCTTGGCCTTCTCCATTTCCTCCTCTTGTTGTATCATGCGCTGATAGAGTTTATCTGCGTGCATTTGTATCCGCTCGTCTTCTTCTGGCGACCGCTCGTCCATGGTCATGTATCCTAACGCCTTCAAGAACTTTGACTGTATGTCGTAGCAGCGGTTGAACTTGCGCGACTCGCCTATACACATGGTTCCTGCCGACCACCATGATTTGGGATTCTGGAAACACTCGAATTGGTTCATGTATTCAAGCGCACAGTTCTCCATGGCGACTCGTCCAATTGAGGCTTTGCGATCGTTGTAGGCGTCTACGAGGTCTCGTAACTTGTCTTGTTCCGACTTTCCGCGGTTGTTGACGACGTCCTGTGGGGTGTAGGTTTTCCAGAGGTCGGCATATCGGCCATCTTGGAATTGCGATTGCGGTGGCACATATGGCTTCTCGGGATCTGTTTGTGTCTGCGCTTGCGCTTGTGTGGGTGTTGGCGACTCGGCGGGCTTTTCTTTGGGAGCGGAGGGTAATGAAGGTTTCGGGCCAGTGGGCGCTTCTTTTTTGAGGAAGTCGCGGAGAGATGGGTCGAGTTGGTCTTGCCCGCCTGAGCTATTCCCGCTTCCCCAGAGCCAGCCCATAGTTGCGTCGGCGTATAGATTCGTATTCGCGAGGTGAGCAGGTGAAAGTTCCCAAGTTGCGGGGACAGTGAACATGGGTCGGGGGTCCGAGCACCCGATCATGTCTTAGCGCGTTGGCCTCAGATGCGCCCGGGCATAACAACGACTCGATTACGCGACGGCGACGACATCAACTCGGGGAATTGTTACGACACACATTGTTATGGCGCCAGTCGGTATGTTCGTTCTGTTCAAGGATTCATAATCCGAATTTCATACTCACACGTCTCTAGATCGCCGCGAACATCGACAACAGCGCGTGCGCGGTGCTGGGTAAGACACTCGAGAACTCCTGAGACATGCAAACGCTGACTACGACAGGCCTTCATCTGTGCAGGCGTCTTTCGGCTTCAACTTCGGCGCTCTCAGTTCGCAACCGACCAAACAACCCTCTCTCCCATCCCAGCAATCACCGCGACGAACACCAGCCCAGAAGACACCCAGGAGCGCAAATGGCTCGGCACAACGGCAGAGAAGCGCGTCGATTCAGCGTAGTACTGCATCCAAGCGGAAAGCTACACCAAAAGAAAACACGGTAACCCCTCAGTTGGGCAAGAGGAAGCGGGGCTCACCAAATGCGCAACCAGGCGCAGACGACGCGGCAGAGGATGAGCTAAGCCCTGACCGTGAGGACGCCGTGCGCTCTATCGAACAAAGTAGGAGGGTCATTGGGACGGTTCTACCCATACGTGAAGAACAAGACAATGTACCAGATGAGCTATCCATATTAGAGGAGAGCGCCAGTACTGCACGCGAGACGGTCTTCGCCAAGTCTACCGTCATCAAACGAACGCCTCCACAAGCATCGTCACAAATACGCGCAACCCCTGTAAGTGCCCGACAAAAGACGCCTGCCACCGAGGGTGTTGAGCAAGGGTCAGCTGTATCGCGGCGGTCGACACTACGGCGATCGCGTTCTACGGATCCTGGCCCGGCTACACCCAGCGTGCTTCCAAACGGGCAACCCAGAACTTCTTCCGCTTCACAACTCGGCGCTATTCTCGAGACACCAGCCGCAGCTTCAGTGGACGAAGAGAGCGAAGATGAGCTATCACCACAGCTCAATGGATCTACACCGCGGGTGGTTGGGAGCGAACCACGGCCGCAGCGAACCGCAGAAGAAGATGTTGAAATGGACGCAGACGAGCTCTCCTCACTCGGCCAACCGACACCAATCCAGCAAACGCCGGTAGCGAATGGTGCGACACCACAACGATTGAGAGAGCAACAGTCTGAAGAGCAAGCCACTCCGCCGCAGCCAGCCAAACGAGGAAGACCGCGCCGGGTAGTGGAGGAACCCAAGGAGGTTGAGGTCCCCGCAACCACGGCGACGAAGCCTGCCAAGCGCGGCAGACCCAGAAAAGAAGTCGCAGTCCAGGAACGCGAACCTCAAGCAGCGCCAGCTGTACGCGAGCCAGAAGTTACAAACAGCGAGGAGCCAACACCGGAAGAAGTGGACGAGGTTCTTGATGATGTCTCCCCTGACCATGAACAAGCATCTATACACTCCCCCAAACCTACACCACGGAATCAGGACGCTGTCGAAATTTCCAGTGTGGATGAAGAGTCGGACGTGTACGAAGAGCCGGAGCCCGAAGAGGCAGAACTCACTCCACGACCCAGAACGAGTAACCCGTCTCCCAAGCAGACACAACGCGCCAAACCTACGTCAGAGAAACCGCCTCGCAAGCGTCAGAAATTCATGGGGCCCAAGCATACAATCTCTGTCATGCGCATCAAGGGCTCTGCCGTCCGAGGCATCACAGTCGCAGACACCACGCGTACCATCTTAGAAGAAACCATCAACCACCGCTTGAGCCGTATGGCCGAAAAGCTACAAGCCTCACAAGACTCCACCCGTCGCAAAGAGTTTCGAAGCGAGATCAACCTCTCACTCTCTTTTAAGGAGAGCCTCAACGAGAAGTTGCTCGACTTGCAGGACGCGAATGATCTCTTGAGCACCAACTTCAAGAAGATCAAATTGTTCAAACGCGACAATGCTGAGCTTCGTAGGGAAATTCTCAGTCTCCAGGACAGCAGGCAAGAGATTGCTATCGAAACGGACGATGTGCAAGCACGATACAACGCCGAGAAGGCCGAGGTAGATGCTAGAAATACCCTCAGTGATGACATGTTCGAGATTGAGGCTGCAATAAAGAACGGTCGAAAAAAGGCATGCAAAGAAGGGAGGGAAGAGGAAGGCCCCAACATCCCCCTTCCTATGCTGCTCCAAATGGTCGGCAATGACGTCACTTCTCGAAGTGGCGGCCTTCTGGCCAATGTAAAGGGCTTTAACGGGCTCTTGGAAAGAGCTGCAGGCTTTTTAGAGGGAAGAGCCTGATTGCACAGCGAATAGCTGGATGAAGTTTCTTGTGTGTACTTTCGGAAAGATACCCGGCATTATCGCCACCTTCGATATGATATTTACCATTCTCATATTCTGCACCCCTTCAATCTCCTAATGTCTGCGGACGCACAACAGCATCTGAAAAGCTGATCATGATTTCTCATATACGAACGGGTGTTATTTGGCAAGGACACCTGGGGTAGTCGCGTGTCGTCTAACATCGGTCAAGCGACTAGTCTGCATATGCCAAGACGCGCCCGCTTTCATGCACGGTTACGCAAAGGTGCATCACCTAAATGATATTGGCGTGCTGGAACTTGCCTGTGCGCATCACAGGGTCCATGGGCTACGGCCTTAACTCCCCAGCCTGCCGGTTTGCTCTCATCTGACAGTTCTACCAAACCTTTGTCCGAGCCATTGTTGCCAGTACCGGCGCTCTTGCCTTTCCAGAAACCAGAAGCCAGGCAGCTCAACCGACGTAATCTCAATCCTGCGTCCTGTATCTATCAGGGAACTCTTTACCAGAAAAAGCAAACATTTGTAAAATTACGTGGTTGAACGTGCGCTTCGTTCTAATCAAGACCCTGTTACATCGCAAAACGGGAACCGGCGGGAATACGTTACACGACAAACTAGCTTGAACCAAACCTGGAACTATCACCAGATATCTGACACAGTTTCTTTCACTACTCCTACAGCAGCTCACCAGATCAACATACCGCCCAATTGACGTCAAGGTGGTTATTCGTCACGGTTCACTTACCAAAACTATGACTCGCGGAAGCATCACCTGCGACACTAGTGTCCCAAAAACACCGACGACGGAGCCAACACCGTCCACGCTGACAACCTCGGCCGATTTCAAGACCCCTAAACCTCCTCTTACCTCGCAGACAACTAAATCTCCACGTAGCCCATCAAGCAAACTCTCGTTTCACGAGCAGCGGCGAAAATCGTTCTTGGAACATCTGAAACGATGGCACTTGAGCCACGAATCGAGTAATTTCTTTCAAGGAAAACTCAGCCTACTACCTTCTGAGCCTGAATACAACGAAAACCTCGAATTGGGTAGAAGTGTAACTTGTATTTTGACAGATTCGAGTTTTACGGACTATAGGAAGACGGTTGCTATTAAGCTTTTTGGACCGCAAAAGGACAGCGTAAACGGCAAGACAAGAGAATTGGGACGGGATATCAAGAGTAGGAGCATGGCTTTACTCAGCAGCGAGATGAAGCTCGCGGAGGACAAGAAAGAGGAGGCATGGCCGTCACCAGAAGCCATATCCGGCTCTTCGAACAGCTACTACAACCTCGTCATCCGCTTCGGCTCAGGATGGCTCTCAGCACGCGACTACTTCAACAGACTCTACTTCCGACACCTCGCTGCCCGCTTGCCAGGCCGGAGTAGCCACTGCGTCGCCAACACAGCCGACTACGTCTTCCGCGTCCGCTCCCAAGCACTTGGCCCACCACCCTCAAAACGAGACACAGTACCCATCCAGCCACTCTTCAACCAATTTCAACGCCTACCCACCGAACTCCAAGAAATGATCCTCATGACCGCCGCCGGACTTACCCGGGACTACGACCTCACCAACGACGCGCGCAGGAACTGTGCCAGAGCATCCGAAAGAGCCATCAGTTTATCAACCCTACTACGCATCTCACGCGGCATTCACGATACTATGCGACCATACATAATGCGCAGCACGACCTTCCATTTCGGCCTCAGCGGAACGACAAACTTCCTCTGGCAATGCGGCCCGACTTGTCGTCCCCACATTAAACGCTTGGCCTTCCATTTCGGGAAGAATGCTTTGCTTCATTGCGTGCGCTGGTTAGCCTCCGATGCGATTTTCGAGTTTCTAGAGCCGCCGCAGCCGAATGGCGGGACTGGGTTACCGCTGTTTTGGCGCTGTCAGTTGAGAGCTCTTGCCAAGGAATTGCATTTACGCGAACTTGTTATTGATGTTGAGGGGATTCCGAAGGCGGATGTTGCTATGGTGGTTAGGGTTATGAGGGAGGCGTTTGGGGGTGTGGAGAGGGTGAAGTTTGTGGAGGGGTCTCCGCCGGGGAAGACGGAGGTTGTGGATATGAAGGATGAACGATTAGCGGATTTGGGCAAGGAGTCTTGGAGGGAGTTGGTCAAGGGGTATATTGCGAGGTATGAGCGTCAAATCGGGTGGCATAATTGGCATTTTAAGATGGATTTGGTGGGCTTGAAGGAGCATGAGCTTAATGCTTTGATGGATAAGGAGGCGGAGTTTTTTGATAGTTGATTGAGGATGAATGCATGATGATGGTGTTATTTCTATGTTTTAGGATTTGGGAAGATACGGAATTCACATCTGGCGAGTTTATAACGAGCTTAACCAACGTTAGAGATACGGCTTCGTGATCTGCTGATGATACCTGCATGTGCGAGAGATGTCGTCAAGCGAGTGATGAATCTTGAAAGAGAAAACCGCATAACTAGATACTAAATTTAATTTAGTCTACGTCACTTCCACTTCCACTTTTCTTTTTCAAGAAATAAACACGCATTGCCTTGGGCATCGTTCCAAAGAAGTGGTGTTCACAGAAGTATTGCTTTGTTTCGGCAGTTGACAGCCAAGGTACTTGCACCTGGGTACGCAAATTGTGACATTGGCGATAGAGGCTTTCAAGGTTCTTCGTGGAAGCCATAGTGGGTACGATACGCGTAACAATTTAAGGTTTCGTCGACACCCAGGCTGTGCCCAATATTGCCCGCTGCCAGCCTCATTCCCGATCCTCCGATGCTTCTCGAGTTCGTGAGGCGACGGGTGGCCACTGCGAGAGGCTAGCGCAACGGGTCCCTGCACGGAAGCAGCGGCAGGCGGAAGGGGAACAACTCTAAATTTCTAGTTCCCGGAATCCTCTTCTTTTGTCTCGACATCGAGAATTTCCGAGAGCATTCGTCCGCATGATGGACGTTTGGCATCCTAGTTCACGCTCATGACGAGTGGCTGCGTTTACTTTGGCTACTCAGACGATTATACGCAAGACGACCTCGGGACTCAACCTTGGAAACTGCGACCCGGCAGCACATGCTACGATACAGCCACATGTCTTCTGCGCGACAATTAACGTCGTTGTTACTATCGCAGAGTCATGCAAGTCGTGCAAGAAGAAGTCATGGACGGCAAAACATGACCTCGTCACTTGCGAGGTTTGTGGGATAGATTGTAAAAGTCAAATGTCATTGGTAATGAGCGCAATTGAGTGTAAACTCCGCAAATGTACGTAAACCTCCTCTCACAAGGTTACTCAAGAGGCCGTCATCTAAAATCCCCACTTGGCAATCTTCTTGTACGACTTGTGCTTGACGCTGGTAGTGCGCTTCGCGACGCTCATGCGCTTCACGACAGCGCTCTCGTCTTCGTCCACATCTACACACCCATCAACATCCTGCGAGGAGCAGAGCGGCGTGAGAGTCTTAGAGCCCATATCGCAGAAGTTTCCATGTGCGTCAACAAAGTCCAGTCCCCAAGACGTGGCAGATTCACAAAGTCCCTTCGCTGAGTGGCTTGCAATGTTGGACACGACAAGTGCCTCGGTCATCCACTGGGGGCGCTCAGAGACACTACGCTTGGCGCCAGGTTGGTCTGAACACGAGTGTTAGAGAAAGTCCCTGCGCGGTAGGTATAAGGGGATGACTGACCAGCGATAGGGCCACTGTCTGGTCCAAAGATCGTGTATGTACATCCTGCGTTGCTGCTCGCGGTGTCGTTGACGTTTTCACCGTACGCGGAGGTATCGAACTTCAGAGAAGCAGCCGCAATATCGTTGGTATGGTCTAGATACGAAGTCAGTGTAGGTATCACATGTGTGCCATGGCCGCAATTTACCTGCATCGATCCAAGTGCACCTGGGGACGTAGTCGCCACCGTCGTCTAGGCGTCCCGCTACCTCGACGCTCTCGTACCAGGATTGGCCACAGACTGATCCAATATCGCCAGTCCATGCACCACCGAAAGTGCCGTCGAACTGCGTCACGGTGATCCAGGCAATACATGTCGCGTCATCGTTGTTCGAGATGCTGACGTATTTGGCTCGTTGGCCCCCAACCCCCGCGTCAATGGTGCGGTCGCAAATTCCACCAGAACCGATATCACAGCCATCAGCTTGGCCCTGATATCCGTTTACCTGGGAGAAGGAATAGACCTTGTTGATCGAGCCAGACTAACCTCTTGTTAGCAGCGGATTTTATGTTGTCCATCCTAGGAAATGGCACTCACAAGACTGTCTCCGTCGTTACCAAGGTCGGGTAGACCGGCTGCAGGAGTAAAGAGTGTGTCAGTAAAGATCATGAAGATATTAGTTCTCTTGTAATGCTGTACCTTTGATCCTGACAGTTGCACCCTCTGCTGCTTTCCCTGGGACGTTGGCTTCGAAAAACCCAACCGTAGTCAATGCGTCAGCTACGAGCCCAATAGCTGTGAGAACTGAAGCAGCCATGTTGGAACTTGCGGGAAAGCTGATTATCTGATAGTTATTCAAAACCGTTTCACTGAGAGTGAGAAGTCCGGTTTGTGTGATGACTGCTTGATTCACAGGAAGACTTTTTATATTTCTTCGGCTTGAGCAGTGCTTGTTGCGATCCATGACACTATGAAGCCATGGTGACATTGCTCCGGGACTTCGGCATGCCATCGTAACATGTCTCAAACCGAACAGCAAATCAAGACTTCGTTGACAACATGTGTTCAGCCCCCAACTGTTGCCAATACTTTATCCACGCGAAGTGGAGTTTCGGCTCGTCCACTTTGTCAGCCTGTACGAACAGTAGGTATGCTGCCGATGATATGGCCGACCTCTGATTTGTCGTAGCCTCCTGGGTATCTGATCCTTTTAAGACACTGATGACCACAAATATCAAGACCTTCCCGAATGGTAATTTCGAGTGATGTCGTCTTACCGGTTAGAACAGTAGTCTGCCTGGGAGCTGAAGGATTCCTAGAAAACCGGGGACTAACGACGAAAGTAGGAAAAAGCGACACCGGTACGCCTTGTCATATCCCCGGAAGCGCCGATGGAAAGCAACTAAGATGTGATAGAGGCCGAATTGCCAAGTCCGCGGGACAGTTATAATCCACCTCGCCTACCGACTCAATGCTCAGCAACACCTTTCTCTACCAGCTCCACTTCTTCTTTCGAGACAAGCCACCATGAAGCTCTCACTTGCCCTGATCAGTACTCTGCTTACGAGCTCTCTCGCACTTTCGGTCAAACGACAAAACGATGTACCTTCCTGCGTCAACGGCGATGTTGCCGACAGCAACGGCGGCCCATACGAGGGTGGTATGTAATAGCAACCGCCGGCTTCAGTCCTTTAGGTAAAACGAGCTGACGCCCTACGTTTAGGCGCTGAATGTGAACAAGACTGCTACTTGACTGAACAGGAAGGGGATAGAGTCGATCAGATCTGCAAGGGGTACTGCACTGGAACACCACTGGTGACAGGAACTGTTGTGTACAACTGCTATGGAAGTGGCTGAAGCGTGTATGGAAAGCCTTCTGAGGCGGACTTGTTGGAAACCCATTGTGTCAGAGCATTACATAGATACTTTCACACACCAACCTTGAATGGATGACTCCAACTTAAGCACCGCATAAATGCTTGTCTTCCGGGCGTACATGCTTATCCCTCGTACGTTTATCCAGCATAACTATGTGTCAAGACGTCATGTTCTCGCCAATCTCTACATGAGATTCGTTCTTTACTATGAGTTCGTGAGGCTCGACCGGCAATACGGCTTACGCCCGAAACTTATCGACGAATGACAAGGCGTATGGTTGAAGCGAGATCCCTACACAAAACGCCCTGCAGAAGATCACCCCGGAATACACCGCGGACGTTGGATCAAAGTGTTGTTGCTTATGGTGGTTAAGGTTAGCTGCCGCCGTGACTAATCGAAGCAGGCACGTGGTGGTTGTGGGGTCTACATAAGGCGCCCCGAGGCACCCCGTCCGGGGTCTTGGTAAACACCACTACCAAAATCAGACAATGATCGGGACGACCGTGCCACCCAACCCCGCCTCAACGTCGCAACGCTAAGGAAGAATATGTGCGTTGTTATGACCCAGCGATGTCATTTGGGGCGTACATGAGTCGGGTTTTAAGAGAGGACGAATGACGACAGTGCTAAGAGCAGCTGCAACCGACGAATCTACGCGACCAGCGACAGCTTCAGACACTGGAAGCGACAAGGAAACGTTCCGTTCCAACCGATTAGCCGGTGAGATGGTCTGAGCCCTTACATGCAATAAGCCGCAGTGTGACACATGACGAAATGTCCCATGAGTATGCCTTACTCTTGGCAAGAAGCGGATGGCCTTATTATGCAGCGATGTCTGGAGATGGAGTACAAACACCCTAGCCGCCCCCCACGCTCGCATCTACTGAGATCGGACTCGTTCAGAACCGCATCCAGACTTGATAATTCTTGCTGTTTTCGAGACTCTCCCTAAACCTTTTGCTTCAACATTTCCAATGCAGCTCTTCCAAGTCATCAACAGATCGGCGTTTCTAGCCTTGCTTTCTTCTCCCTTCTACGCACATGCACAAGCATCCCAGAACGCAGATGGGCAAGAGCTAAGCCCATATAAGTTTGTGCCCTCCCCATGTATCGGCACAAGTCAACTAACCGTTCGATAGTCAGAACCTGACGCTCCGTTTCTTCAAAGATGGCCACGACGACACATGCAACTACTACGACTCCCGCGACGCCTTGACCTTCACTACGAGTAGTATTCCCATCGTCCCGCACTGTTTCAGTCTTGGAGACCTCTTTGGAGGAAACGCCACGCAAGGCTTTGTGAACCAGACACGGAACCTCGGTTCTGGCAGGTTTGGTAACGAACAAGCGGGTATTTACTGGACGCTTCTCAACGACGACAAGTACGACAGATCAGCAAATTACTCTCGGGTCCTATACCGCCACCATGTAGTGCAGGCGTATGACGACATATGGAAGGAGGGCCATCTCTCAAATATGATGGCTACCGTCTACGGAGGGGAGGACTGCTCTGAACTCGATCCTAACGATGACCAAAACTTACTGAACTGGTTTGGGTACAGCTGTTGGAGTGCTGATGAGGGTGATTGTGGCAATACACCTTACCCCCTCAATAGTTTCAATCTTGCCTCAGTCGACCAGAGGTCAGACCGCAAGTGCTGGTTGCATTCGGAACTGGGCGCTGCTGTGCATGGATTCTCGTCTTCTCGGGCGATAATGGGAGCTTTCGCGAGTGTATCTCTAGCTGTCTGGCTGGCCTTGTAAGGTATATGGATGTTGATAGGAGAATTTGTATACCTAGATATTGAAAAACTCAAACTCAAGCGCAAAACAAAGTGATTAGGGCAGAAAGTGAGCACACGGCATAGTAACTGTGTCACGAACAGGGCTGGAGTGTTTTTACCCGCGCGGATTCAAAGATTCGGTCAAAATGTTGCGGGGTGACAAGGAACCGTGATGAAGGTAAGAAGTTCGCAATGTCATTACGACTATGTATGCCCAGCCTTTTGAACCCAGTGTCCAAACGCCAGCAGAAGAAGAAAAACAAGTAGACAAGACAGATCTACCGCTGCCCACATCATACGCCATGACTATGCAAAAAGGCCCAACTTGGGGGTAAAACGCCATAACTATACAGCACCACGTTCCCACCATCTACCCACTCCCGTGACTCCTCAACTTCCGCCCAGCCGCAAGACCCGGACCAACGCTATTACCGAAATTCGTAATATTCTCCCTATCACCACGGTCGCCAGCAACGCCAACCGTCTTCCTCGTCATCTTCTTCATCGGAAGCTTACTTGTATCATCGCCATTGGTTCGCGCCTTCTTATTCGGAGGGCCGCCGTTCAGCGAATCGCAAGAAGACTGGGATGCGAGATGGGGAAGTGGCTGAGTATGAGCTTCCTGCGCCACCACGTTAACATCTAGCTCCCGCAGGGAAGAAGGGTTGCCTGTGGGGAGGTGCGAGATGGTGTGGGCGTGCGCACTGATGGAGTGCGAGAAAATGGGCTTCTTGCTTGTGTCGGCGAATATGTCGGTTGGCGAGGAGAGGTTGAGCGTTCCTGTGGCGTCGTCGAAGATGGGTTGCTTCGAAGGGCTGCGTGTGGTGGTGTCGACGGGTGCGGGGCGGTCTCGAAGACGGGAAAGTATGTTCTCGTGTGCTTCGGTGCGTGGGAGGGTGGAGGGGATGGTGTAGGAGACGCGCTGGGGTGTTTCGCCAGTGGGGTTGTATTCGATCAGGTTCTGGGACCCGACGACCTCGCGAAGCTCGTGCAGTGGTGCACGAATATCCGCATCTGCAGCAAGCGCTGGTAAGGTGTCTTTCAGTGTGTTTGCTTGTGCTGACATGTCCGATTCAAGAGACTGAACGCGATCGAATGAAGTGGATAGATGATCACCGATGCTAGAGTATGAGGCTGCCACTGTTGACGACAAAGCAGCCAGCGATGCTGTATGGGCGGTGTGGTGGGTGTTGTTCTGTTCGCGGATGCGGGCTACGATGTCATCCAAGGATTGGAGCTGAGTGTCCAGGTGTGCCATCTGGGCCTCAACAGTCTTGACAGTGCTCTCGTGGACCGATGTGGTCGTGTCCTTGATCGAAGTGGAATGCTGGGTCGCGGCTGCAAAGTCTGACTTGATCTTGGTCTTGACGGCATCTCTTGACTTGGACACACCCGCCAGGATGTCTCTAGACTTATCTGACCATGCAATAACGCCATCAGCATAAGCATCTTGCTTCGTCTCGAATGCGGCGTTGGCAGCATTCATTTCCTCTCGTACAGCCGAGAGCTTCTCGTCTAACCTCTTTTCTTGCGCGTCGGCGTTTGCGTTGATGATGGCGGTAAGCTGTGAGAGCAGTTGTTGGCGGTCTTCGGCCGACTTCTGTTTCTCCTCGTTCACGACCTTCTCGAGTTGGCCCTGAGATGTCTTGTTCGCCTCGACCAAGGCCGCGTTGGCCTCCACGACCTGTTGGTGTAGTCGCTCGTTCTCGATTTGCTGGTCGTTCAGATCCTTGACTAGATCGTCAAAAGTGGTCTTGAAGTCGCGGCCTAGCCCCGCATAGGACGCGTGGACTTGCGTGTGGAAGGCGTCGAGTTCTGTGATGATGTTCGCAGAAATTGTCTCCGCCGCTGCTGAGAGCTCATCGAGGCCTGCGCCGATCTTCGTCTTGACGTCCTCTCGAAGAGTTCTGATCTCCTCCAGAACTTCATTCATGTGGTCGCGCGCTTGAGCCGTCTGTCCGTTGACCTCTTGTTCGGAAGTTTGGTATGCCTCCATCTTCTCCTGTAAGAAGGACTGCGAGGCGCCAAGCTGCTCAAGCTCATCCCTGACAAAAGCTTGCATACGTTCCGAAATCGCGTTCATCAGCTGTTCCTGTTGTTGCTGAAGCTCCTCTATCCGGTCCTCGACCATACGGGTAGTATCGACAACCTGGGT